CTTAAGCCCAAGAGTTTGAGGTTGCTGTGAGTTGTGATGCCACCTCACACTACTGAGGATGACATAGTAAGACTGTCTCAAAATAAATAAATAATAGAACAGTTTAAAAAAAAAAAGACAACCTTCAGAATGGTAGAAGATATTTGCAAGCTACTGACCAAAGGAGCTAAGGAAATTTCACCCCAAAATATGACTACTTGATATAAAGAATTATTTGACTTAAAAGCCATTTGTGATCAGAAACCATTTGGAAGGGGCTTTCCCTCTATCTAAATAAAACTCTTTCCCTCTATCTAATAAAACTCTTTCCCTCTATCTAATAAAACTGAGTGATCAGATGAAAATATCACGGGAGTGAAACTCACTTCCTTTCCTCCCCCTGAATGCTAGCAGACTTGTTTCAAATCATTTAAAACACAATACTTGTGTCTCAGGTTAATTTACAAGTCAGTCTGTTCCCTTCCCACCCCACCCCCCATCTATTCATCCTCCCTAACAACCATCTGCCATATCTGTACTCCGCATTCTCCCCCTTCCTTCAAAAAGGCTTCTATAAAGGTATCTGACCATCATTGAGACATTGGGGAATCACTCTTGTGATTCTCCCCATGTACACAGTATTTGGAAATAAACATTTCTATTATTAATCTGCCTTAGTTGTGAGTTGAGCTTGCAGCATATTTTCATGGTGGGAAAGGGCACATCTCCCCTCTCCCCAACACTACAAATCTGACAAAGGGCTAATAACCAGAATCTACAATAAACTCAAGGGAATCAACAAGAAAAGAGCAAACAACCCCATTAAAAACTGGGCAAGAGACAGTTTCTGTCCATTCTCATGAGGACAGAAGAATGACCAACACAGCATGAAGAATTGCTCATTATCCCTAATTATCACTGAAATGCAAATCAAAACCACTTTGAGATATCACCTAATCCCCCTAAGAAGGGTCCACATCATACGATCCCAAGGCAACAGTTGCTGGGATGGACTAGTCATGCCTGGTTGGTGGGACTACAAACTATAACACCCTCTATAGAAAGAGGTACAGAGATTCCTCAAAGAACTAAAAGTAGACCTACCATTTGACCCTGCAATTCCATTACTAGGCATTTATCCAAATGAAAAAAAGGCATTTTACTGTTACTAGAATTTCTTTCTTCAGTAGGTTCTTGGTCTTGGGGATTGAAAGAATGAACCCAAGGACCCCAGATCAATGGTAAGACGGGATTTTATTAGAACGGAATACAGAAGGAGAAAAAAGCAGCAGAGCTTCTGGCAAAGGGGAATACCAAGAAGTCTTCCACTTGAGTCTTTTGTCTAGGGATATATAGCACTAGGTCTTTGTGGGTGTTTTTGCCTCAGGGAAGGTGTTAGGGTATGTACTCCCTACTCAAGGTGGAGCCACCCAAAACCTTTCAGGCTGCTTTGTTCATGACTTTGCTAGAGCCCAGAGGATGTGGTCTGGAAAGGATAGCCTATTTGTGCCTAGATTTGGTGGTCTGATTTCTAAGTTCACCTGGACCTAGAGAATGAGGGGGGGGTCCTCTGTCCAGCCCTGAGGGGGGAAGCCTGTATCATTACCACATGGGCATCTGCATTCAGGTCACAATGTTAAGGATGTGCAAACAACCCTCATGCTCATCAACACATGAACAGATTAATAAAACTGTGGTGTATGTATATCCTAAACAGCCATAAAAAGATGGAAATTTTCCATCATTTGTAATAACCTGGACGGATTTGGAGAACATTTTCCTAAGTAGTACATGAATGGAAAAACAAGCACCACACTCAAAGCCAATTTGAAACTAGGAGATAAACAATTACAGACCCACACAAGAAAAAAATCTCAATTAAATAAAGTAGGGGGGCTCAGTGCCTGTGGCTCAAGCAGCTTAAGGCGCCAGCTACATACACCTTAGCTGGCGGGTTCGACTCCAGCCTGGCCTGCCATCAACATTTTGGTTGATGGCTGCAACCAAAAAATAGTCAGGCATTGTGGCTGGGGCCTGTAGTCCCTGCTACTTGGGAGGCGGAGGGAGGGGAATCACTTCAGCCCAGGAGTTGGAGGTTGCTGTCAGCTGTGATGCCACCGCACTCTACCAGGGTGACAGCTTGAGGCTCTGTCTCAATAAATAAAGTAAGGGAAAAGGGGAGAGGGAGTTCAGTAGCTTCCCACCCAATGGATACAAGGCATAGATATATATATATGGCCCATTCCCTGGGTGCAGGACACAGCTATTACTCAGACTTTAACCTTTCTTATGTAAAGTATGAAACCTAATTATTTTTTTTTGAGACAGAGTCTATGTCCCCCTGGGTAGAGTGCTGTAGTGTCACAGCTCACAGCAACCTTCAACTCTGGGGCTCAAGTGATTCTCTTGCCTCAGACTTGCAAGTAGCTGGGACTACAGGTGCCTGCCACAGCAAGTGGCTATTTTTTTTTTTTTTTTTTTTTTTGTCGTTTATCAGGCCTGGGCCAGGTTTGAACCCGCCAGCCTTGGTGTCTGTGGCCAGTGCCATAACCAGTGAACAATGGGCTCTGAACAGGAAACTAATAATTTATACCCTCGTATTAATCCGATTTTTTTTCTTTCTTTTTTTTAGAGACAGAGTCTCACTTCAGTGCCCCTGGTAGAGTGCTGTACCGTCATACCTCACAGCAACCTCCAGCCCTTGGGCTTAGGCAATCCTCTTGCCTCAGCCTCCCGAGTAGCTGGGACTACAGGCGCCCACAGCAACACCCAACTATTTTTTTATTGCAGTTTGGCCGGGGTCGGGTTTGAACTTGCCACTCTGGTATATGGGTAATGTAACCAGATTTTAACATTGGTAAAGTGGGACACCATTGGCAGGGGGTTCTTAATTACAAATTTAGTCCATATGGAGCAACAAAAATTTTCATAGAACACAAAAATAGTATTGTAATACATATTTTTTTAATTTCAACATAAGTACAATTTACAATTTTTAATATACATTAAAAAAAATTTATGTATAGGGCAGCGCCAGTGGCTCAAAGGAGTAGAGCACTGGTCCACCTGAGTGACCTTGCCCAGGAGGGGAGTAGGAAGTTTACATTAGCCTTTTCATTTCCAAATGAAGTTATATTAACCTCTTCATTCCCAAAATGGAGTTACATGAACCTTTTCAGCAGCCGAAACCATATATTCCCTTGCAGTTGTCCCGCTGTTCCCTAGCTTGTCGTGCATTCTTTCCAAAAATCGGGAGTTTTTTAAAACGCCACGGGATGCGGGACAAATTGTTAAAAATCGGGACTGTTCCGCCAAAAGTGGGATGTCTGGTCACCTTATATATGGGGCTGGCGCCCTACTCACTGAGCGACAGGCACTGACCCTAATTCTAAATTTTTTTAAAAAAGGAAGTCATATTCTGTTACTCCATGTCCAAAGTTAACCTTCCTCAGGACCTAACAACATTTAGAGGCTCTAAATACATTATCCACTCTGTTGCCCAGTCTAGAAGGCAGTGGTGTGATTATAGTTCACTGCAACCTCCAACTCCTTAGCTAAAGCGATGCTCCTGCCTCAGGAGGGCTATAGGCACGCCAACCACACCCTTGCTAATTTTTCTATTTTTAGAAAGAGACCAGTTTTGCTCTTGCTTAGACTGGTCTTGAACTCCTAACTAAAGGGATCTTCCAGCCTTAGCCTCCCAAAATGCTAGGATTACAGACACGAGCCATTCATTTTCTTTCACACTTATTTACCTCTGACCTGTTGATCCCCCCTTTTCAAGATTGACTATCTCTTGGGTGCACTTTGTCATCGTTGGCCAACACCTGCAAAGAACAATGGGTGCTGAGACCAGCAGCAACAGCCAATCTCAGAAACTCGTCAGAAATGCAAATATTGAGACCCACCCCAGACCTGCTGTTTACACTCTGCAATTTTGCTGCAGGTGCTTTTCCCTTTTAACAAACCCTGCAGGCAGTTCTGATACTAATTAAAGGTGGAGCTCGGGAAGTTTTCCACAGCCTGCGGTTGAATGCGCGATAGGCGTGGCTGGGGTTAGGGACTCATCCGGGCGGCACTAGGACCGCGGCGGTGCGAACCGGCTGCCACTGCCGCCGCCGCCGCGGGCCCGGGGCGGGGCCCAGCTGTTCCGGGAGCCGGGCCTCACTCCTCGACCCGCCCCTAGAGGCGGACCCCACTGGACTTAAACTCCTGGACCCGGGAGGCCCGCAGTGTTCTCCCCGCTCGCCTGGCTTGTCCTCTACTCCCCGCCGGTAAGTGGGAGCTGAGCTCCCGGCGGCCCCGCGCTCGCCCGGGGAGGGGCCGGGCAGGCCGGGGGGAGCCGAGAGCCGGAGGCGCCGGCGGGCAGGGCCGGACGCGCGGCAGGGAGCGCTTTTGTTCAGCGAAGAGCGCGGAGGGGCGGGCGGCGGGCGGCTCGGAGCCCCGGGCCTTAAAGGCTCCCACTCCCTGCCCGCCGCCACCCGGAGCTCGGCGGGGCTGGGCGCTCTGGCCCGCTGGGCAGGCCCGGCTCTCCACCCGGAGGGCGGCGCCTCGCTGGCTGCTTTCCTTAAATTGCTTTCCTCCCTGCCGTAGAGGTCGCAGGAGGCCGGGCCAGGACGCATTTTGTGAAAATACGAGGTGATTGCTTAGGCTGGTGGGTTTGAGAGCTGTTTATGTTTCTGTTTCTTTCCTATATTCCAGACTGAAACCCGAGATCATTGTTTTGCTTTTTTACTATTTTCTGAGCGTTTCTCTCCTCCCCGCCCCCATTTAGCCGAAGCCTCCTGAACAGAATCGCTCTGCTGGCAGCTCCAAGTGGCCCGCGAACGCTTCTGTGCCCGGGATGCTTTCTGTTCCCCAGCAATAGTTAGTTCCTGGAGGCATCCTCAAGTGCACAAATGCATACCTGTCTTCGGTGTTCTCGAGGGACAGAGATTCTCTAAGCCAGCGTCCTTAGGGTTCTGAGTTTAGCAGTAAGCTTTCGGGCAATCATTTCTACGAAAACCATTTATTTGTAGTACTTTAAGTGCCTGAAGAAAGAGAAGAACAGGGATGTGTAGGAGCTTGAGATGCATTTTAGCAGGCGGGCCACAGAGCTTCTTTGAGGGTTGTATTTTTCTGCTAAATGTGTAAGCAGTTTCATTCATTGTTAAAGAGTTTATTGTTTATTTCCACCTGTACAGTCGGATTCTCTTTCATTACTCTAATACGGAAAAATTACTAAGATAAAACGGTAGGACAGAAGTGGACCTGGAAGTGTGCGCCTGAATTCTAACTTAAGTGAATGGTATTGTGAAGTGAAACCTACTTTCTGTTTCTTGGCACACTTAAGAATTCAGTAAACCTAATATGTTTTTAATTCAACCTCAAGGAAAAACAGTTTTGCACAGCAATTTCATAGCAAGTAAACACATTAGCGTGTGCTTTTTAAAATTATAAAATGTTTCTTAACTGTCCGTAGGTCCAGGGAACTGAACAGTCTGTGTGGAGAGAGACATGTTTCGAGGGAAATGGGAACACATACAGTAATTACAGAGTAAAAACATTTTTTAACGGTAAGTATATCACTTCCAAGCATCCTGCCCTGATTTGGCCAGGCAGTTATTCATACTGTACTATAGAGTAATTTATTTAGTATGGAATAAAATTGTTAACTTGGTGAGCCAACAATAGTTAAAAATTAAACTGTAAGACAATGGATTTGATGACAAAGCTTGAGAAGAAAAAATGTTGGCATAGTAGTGAGAATTTAGTTGTTTATCATAGCAAAATAAGGAAGAGGTTATTTATGGTGAGGTGACTCTTGGAAGTTACCCAGAGGCAGTATCTATACAGTGACAGCAAAATTAACTTTTGCACCTCACTTTTCTCACCTGTAAAACGAGGAAAACAATAATGCTTACATCATAAGACTGTTGTGGTAAGTTACAGGAGTTTCATACATAACATGCTTTTTTGATTTTTATTGTGTTGTTTTTGAGGCAGAGTCTCACTCTGTCACCCTAGGTAGAGTGCTGTAGCAACCTCAAACTCTTGGGTTCAAGGGCCCCTGCCAGCACACCTGGCCAGGTTTTTTTTTTTTTTTTCCCCTCTGTAGGGAAAGGGTTTCCCTCTTGATCAGGCTGGACTTAAAACACCTGAGCTCAAAATAAATCCACCTGCCTTGGCCTCCCAGAGTGCTAAGATTACAGGCATGAGCCACCAGACCTGGCCCTGTAATAGTACTGGCACGTGCTAAGTGCTCTATAAATTTGTAGTTATTGTCATGTTGGGGAAAATATATTTTATGGCCTAACTCATGTAAGGGTATGTCTTACAGAAAATTCAGTCTGCAAACTTAAACTAAATAAATTCATGAGCTTTGTGATAATTAAACCCATCCTCTGTGTTCTCTTTACTGTAGGCTCTCTTTTTCTTAAGACAGACCAGTCCTCACTGGTCTGCATCTGGTTTTACCTGCAGGCTTGTTTGAAATTAAAAAAAAAATGTCTCCCTTAACTTCTTGCAGCCAAGGGAAACTTGCCCTGGGCCTAGAGCTTTGTTTTTCCCTATTATCTCTGTGATTGTAGAAGAATCTCTCTTCCCTTGTAGATTATCAGTATCTTGGGAGCTCAGATGGTTAGGGAATTGATCTAACATTGTTTATAAAGGTGAATTTCAAGGATCTTGGTTTCTTTAATCAGGTGTCCCTCCATCTCCCTTTGGAAACACAATCTATTATGTAAAACAGACAAGGCAAGTATTCAATTTGAGACAAAGCCAGCCAATGATTACTCACCCTGGCTGTAGAAACGCAAGTTAATGTTTTCTGGAAGTTAGCTTTGTAAAGAAGTTATGTTGAGGACCTTGAGAAATTTTACATGGTTTGTTGGAAGGCAATTATGCAGTGCTTAAACTACTCTTGACATTCAAGTATACTGAGTGAAGGAAGAGCAAAGTTGGAGGCTGGCCTGTTCTAGTCTTAAGTGAGATTACAACTACAGTATAGTTTTCTCCTCATGGTTATAATAGTTGTAAAGAGATAATGACAGTAACTTAGATCCTCCTGAGACAGATCAAATTACAAGGCTTCATTTGTAAATAAAAGTCTTAACTTGTGATTAAAATTACAAGGTGTGGGCGGCGCCTGTTGTTCAGTGGGTAGGGAGCTGGACCCATATATCGGAGGGGAGGTTGGTGGGTTCGAACCCTGCCCTAGCCAAACTGCAACAAAATAAATTACCTGGGCATTCTGGTGGGTACTTATAGTCCCAGCTACTCAGGAGGCTGAGGCAAGAGAATCGCCTAAACCCAGGATTTGGAGGTTGCTGTGAGCTGTGATACCATGGCACTTTACTGAGGATGAAAGTGAGATTCTGTCTCTAAAAAATAAAAATAAAGTAAAATTATAAGAGGTATTAAAAGAAAGTATATTGTCCAATTAAGTTTTTCTCCCCTTCCCAATTAAGTTTTTAGGAACAGAAACTATAAGCAGATTATTTTTTGAGCCCCTGAGGAGAATTTATTAGATTGTGTACATTTAAAATTTATGTAGCATGACCTTCAGATTTGGAGGGATTCAGGATCTGAATCTGAAAAGAAAGTTGTTGG